ACAGCCAGGGGCGCCGCCAGGGATTTTGGGCCCCATGAAAAGATATCACATTGGTTAATTAAACATTTTTTTCTTAATGTTCTAAAATTTTTGGGGCCCCCGTCAGTCACGGGCCCTTAGAATCGTCCTAACTTTTCACCCCCTTACGGCGCCCCTGGTTATTACACACATCCATACACCGATTTCACATCTACAACTTATGTTCAAGTATTGGTTCTCAAGTAACCATGGAGACCACTACTGCCCTGTTACAAGCGTTCTATTAAAATGTTGAAGTCTTAAGCCTGTCCGAGATAACCCAGTTGATGTTGTTGAGCAATTTTTCTCAAAGTTAATGAAAAACTAGAATGGCAAAATTCATTATGTACCAGGCTGGGAAATGACTTGTTCACTGACCTTGGTGTGTCAAATTGTGGAGGGCCCTTTAAAGCATAACTAAGAAGTTGGAAACAACCGATGACCTGAGTCTGTAAAGGAGGTAGTTTGCCATGTGGTGATTATTATGTCTTTGTTGTCAGCTGTCGCCACTGCCGTCACTTCCTGTAGAGTCTATTTCACTGCTCAGTAGTGCAGTCATTTTCTATCAAAGGCAGGCAGTGGTGGAAAAAGTACTCAGATGTTGTCCTTAAGTAAAAGTAGCGAACAGATTTTATAAGTATAAAAAAGCATCAGCATCCAAATATTCTTAAATTACCCAAATTAAAAGTAATTCTAATGCGTAATGGCTGTATAAACTGAGAATATTAAAGTAAACGTGCCTCAAACATGTACTTAGGTACCGTACTGGAGTAAATGTACTTTTATTATCCATCAATGAAGGCAGGGCTACATTTCACCCAGATCAGATTGAACCCCCCCAGCTGTGGTTAGTCCTTTAGGGGTGACCACCCCCAGCTGCAGGGGGCTGTCAGCTGATCAGCTGTGTGACTGTGATGTTAACGTTATGTGTTGATTCTGTTTAAAGCAGAACGTAAAACCAAATAAATGTAGTTTAACTCTGACAACCTCTTTTTTGCTTACAGGGTTACTACAGGAGCAATGAGTTCATCATTACCCAGCATCCTCTGCCTCATACCACAAAAGACTTCTGGAGAATGATCTGGGACCACAATGCACAAATTATTGTTATGCTGCCTGCCAACCAGGGACTGGTAGGACACACAAAAACACCCACAGACTTATAAACACACACATAGACTAATACACACACACATAGACTCATACATACACACACACACACACACACACACACACACACACACACACACACACACACACACACACACACACACACACACACACACACACACACACACACACACACACACTATAGAGGGATACTATCGCAATCTACAACTTTGACCTCATATGCATGACTGTGTTGTCTGCCCATAAGCCAGCGTTGAAATGTCTAATTTATTATGAATCACACACTTTTTCATGAGCCGCAGTTACACATGTGACATTTTGTGTAAATATGGTTAGCAGCCTAACGTGCGTTCTCTGACTTTTATGAGAGAGAACATTAATAATAGGTCAATTTCAATTTCTGTATTCATGCCTTTTTCAGGATGGCTCTGACACCAGCTCTGGCTACTGAATGTATTCGTTCTTTTTTTACACTCTGAGCGTACAAGTTTTCTAACTTATGTGGGTCTGTAGAGCGCATTTGGTTTTTTATTAATAATTCTGCCAGAGCCGCACCCAGATAGCTCACCATGTACAGTGTAATGCACACAAAAACATACATACACCACAAAGTCTCTCACATACTGTACCACCCAATGTAAACATTACTGTAATTTACACAATCAAAGTAGAAATTCCAGTCCAAATGCTTTGCCCCACGACTAACCTTTATTTATTAAATAAACACATAAATACTGCAGTAATCCCGCCCCTGTGACAATGTGTTGCATGCAGTGAATAAATAAAGGTGGTCCCTGTGCTCTTCTACAGGCAGAGGATGAGTTTGTGTACTGGCCCAGTCGGGAGGAGGCCATGAACTGTGAGGCGTTCACTGTCACCCTCATCAGTAAAGACCGACTCTGTCTGTCCAACGAGGAACAGATCAACATCCACGACTTCATCCTGGAGGCTACACAGGTAACTTTGTGTGTGTGTGTGTGTGTGTGTGTGTGTGTGTGTGTGTGTGTGTGTGTGTGTGTGTGTGT